TGTCGTTCCGTTCGCAAGCACGTGGAGGACAATGCGCTTTCCTACTCACCATTAACACCAGAGGTGGCTTCTCTGTCACCCCTTTTTACCACCTTGTCCCCACTCGGCACCGCTGAAATGCTTTGAAAGCAGCGCAAAGACACATAGCTCGCCTTGTTACTCGATTACCTTACCAATCCGTCTGGTGTCTCTTCTAACGGAGCGCAACGTAGTCATACATCTCACTTTTCCGTGCAATACAATATTCTGTATCACCGCAACTACATGTCAGGAAGTCAGAAGTGGCTCGTTGCCGTCCCCGGTCATATGCGCTCTAACATCTGCATAAATTTTCATGCACATTCCCAAAGTGCGCACGCAGATGTCCTGAAAACCTACAAAAGGCTGCGTTGGTGATAATAGTGGCGAGGAATGTATCGCGTTAGGCAGAAATACGTTCAGTCTTGCGCTACTGACCTACAAAATTCAAGGTCATCCAAGGTATCCTTGCTGAATGCAAGATAATTCACTGGAAATATACTGTATAATGTCCACAAACATGGTCCCAACGAGTGGTTCAACCGCACACTTGGCGACATGTTGTGGATGTACACTTTCTCCGACCACACTAACAGGGACGCTGTACTACCTTTTGTTACCATCGCTTACAACACCGTGAAGCAAGCAACCACAGGCTTTTTTCCGTTCTTTCTGTTGTACGGCGAACCTTCCCGCCCAACTGACACCATACTATCGTATCGCCTTGATGCATCTGAGTGCTCTCCTCTTTCTGAAGTTGCCATATACGCTGAAGACAGCAAGCAAGTTGGCTCGTTTTCTGACAAGTGAGGCTCGAGGTCGACAAAAACTTTGACATGACGTTGTTCCTTACCCAGCTCCTACGTTTCGTACTGGCTCTCTTGTGTGGCTTTGGATACCCCCGAACGTACCTGGCCTTTCTCTAAACTTTTTGCGCGTTACCATGTTCCGTAACGTGTTATTGATGCAACCTCGCCAGTGAAATACATCGTCGAGCCTCTCACAGAATCACCAGATTTCCGCCGTAGAGGACACGAGACTGTACACGTCGACCGTATCAGGCCCTACTACGACCCCCTCATTGTGCCTACGCCCTGAGCCACTAGGATGGCTACGCTTCAACACGGGGCATATGCACCAACGCCAATGCGCTTTGGGAAGCGGACAAAAAGCTTTGCGCTCTGATTTCGCGAGTACCTGTGCCGCCTTTGCCAGCCTTGATGTACGGCCCTTTTTCGTTGCGACCTCGTTGCACTTCTTCGGGTAAATAAACCACACCACAATAACACTTTCAAAATAGGTTGAAGCATTCCCTGACGCAAATTCTATAGGGCGATTACAAATATTGATATTACCATAACAATTTTACTGTAACGCTTCATAATTTCACAAGAAGATAGAAGCTGTGCTGTGAATCCGTGATCTGCTGCAATAGTTCTGGCCCTCTTGCTTTCGGTCTACCCAAAAGCTCCCCGACTGGGGGCTCCGCGACGGCCGCCCTGAGGTCTAGGCGCGTCATGCAGCACCAGCTCGACGCGGCTGGTTGCACCGTGTGTTAGATGCGAAGTAGTTCTTTGATTATCCTGTGTATCGTCGTGCCTTCGCCCACACTACACTCCCCTCGCCGCAAGTGTTGGAGTGGTGCCAAATAAGCCACGCCCTTCCTCGCAGTGTGCGTGCATCGACATCACTCTCTCCCTAGCCTGTCGCCACTCACCACGTGTCATCTTACTCGTTTCACCCGCTCAACCGCTCACAACCTTGAGGAGTCGCTAATTACGTTTTGGGTCGGCGTGCGCTACTCGCGTTTAACATCAATCTGGAAGAAAGATTCAGAACCTATCCAAGACGCTCCTACTCCGGGTGCGGTGCCGTGCTCGTCGGTGACGTCGTGATTCTCGCGTTGTACTTCGCTCCCAACCTGCGGAAGGAACAGGTTCAGCGTTGTCTTGAGAAGGACGCTGAGTGATAGCAGTAAGGCGCGTAGGCACGCGCCCATTTAGGTGCGTTTACACTAGAGATCCACGACAACCATTTTGGTGTTCAGGCTGTCTTTGAGAGTGTCTTCTCTCTTGTCGTCGGTCTATGTATACTGCAAAGACACAAACAGTCCGCCAGTGGTCTTTCGAAGATCCCGCCCGCGCCTTGTCATGCTCACAGTTATTCGTTGGCCAATTCTGCTGTCACATTGCAGGCACACGCCAGGGACACTGACTAAACTTGCACACCTGCACCTCTGTTTCATGCCATGCTCCTTGCTCTACCATTGTCCTTCTCCGGTTACGTGGCTCAGCCGCATAATTCGTGGTGATGATGGAAGGGGATGGTTGACACAGCAGGGAAGCAAAGAGAAGACTTCCATTGGGTGCTCGAAATGCCTATTAAAACGCCACGGAAACCTCGGAAAGGGCAATGCTGACTGTTTCAAGATTACCCCCTTCGCGATCATTTGAAGGAAGGATACAGGGCAAACTTTCGCTCAGCCACTGATTCTCTTGAAGACACGTCGACGACAAGTTTACAGAAGCATTTTGCTGGTGTTTCGGTCTTTTCGGTTACACTACACCGACATGCTGTATTGTAGGCGCCGTCGTCGTCGTCGACCTAATGTAGCCAGGGGGCCTGGTGACTTCGTCAGCGGGGACTCACTGGCCGATGGCTTGCGTCTCCCTTGTGTCTTCGGCGGGCTCATGTCACTGTCGTGTCGCTCTAGTGTAAACGCGCCTTTAGAGTGCGCAAGACTTCAACGCTGACGTCAGTAGAGGAGGAAGAGAATGACTCGTCGGTTACATGCGTGACATGTACTCGCTGAAGTGCGTGTTGGTGGAACGAAAGCTACCCATCACAAAAAGCACACGGGCATCGATTTTTTGACGTCGAATGTCTGCAGGAACCTCTCACCGTGCACCTCACCGATCACAAGGCAGTGGTTGGTGCTCAAGGCGAAAAGCGCGCCAGCTCCAGTCAAGCGGCCGTATCCACTCTGAAAAAACCAGAAGTCCTACGACAGTCATCGCTTCAAAGGAACCTTCCAATGCTTACATAAGCACCCGCGTTTGCGCCGTTCCACCCGTGACGCCACGCGTACCCAACGCTGCTGTTTCGCATCACATCACGGTTCTCCATGAGAAGATGTTTTTAATTCTGATGCACCACAATGCCGTATTCCAACAGAGGTTATACGCGCGGTTATTGCTTATTTATTCATATGATTGTTTTCCTAAATTATGTCCTTTAAAATACATGCATGTCTCATTTCACTTGCGTAATAGAGTCTTGTTGCCCAGGTGTTTCAATGTTTTTCCACTGACTTCCTGTCGTTCGTTTATTCTAGCTTTTGTTATTTTCATGATATCTGGGCCTCTGTGATTTCGTTTGTTTTTCCCTAAATGCGTTGGAGCGAGAAGTTCAGTAAAATATCCTTGTTATTTTACCACAATGACGTAAAATTTTGTTATGCTACAATTCCGGTGTTGGTGGCGGTGTCATTGGTTGTGAGCGAAAGTACATAATGTTGTGCATGACAGAAAATGAGAGAAGTGTCAAGAAGATAAATACTAAAGATTTCTGGCTTTGGCTCAAGTCTAGACTCACCTGCTTGCATATTGCGTGGCAAGCTGGCGTTCATCCACAAAGCTACGTACCTGCTTTGAAATACAACTATAATACGTTCCCCCCATAGTAATTCAGTTAAAATAGCGTTTTTACTTTACAAACACATGTGCTTTACAACAAATAATACAAGCATGTAATATAACACTAATATTACGTGGTACAAGCCTACATTGCCATTGGACGGTGCCTCAACATGCAGTTATCATAACTAACTCCTAGTTTGAAGACAGCCATCTGTTATAAAAGGCACACACGCTGCTGCGTGTATTCCCTCAAAGCCACTAGTGGGTGCACATAAAGTTAGCAAACGATTCCCGCGCGTAATTTATTGCATCAGATACCCAGCAGCGCCCGAAAGCGTTATAGCAGGGCGGTTACATCAATAAATGACGTACATCTCCGTTCACACACACAATACAACTTTGTTCACACATAAATAACTGAAATACATTTTCGTTCACACACATAGTATAATTTTGTTCACACATCAATACATCTTCGTTCAGCTTACAACACGGGCTTACAGCAGTGAATAAAATATACCTTCGTTCCCACTATGTACTTGCATTTCAGTTAGCCTGTTCCACTGTTTAATCGTTCTATGAAAAAATATATTGGCATACATGTTCGTTTTAGCTGGGCATTCCCGAAGTTTGCAACTATGATCAAAACGTTTTGAAGTGTAAGAAGGGTTGTGTAGGTATATTTCTCTATTAATTCCAGTTTTATTGTAGTAAATTCAGTTAAGAAATTTTAATCTCTGCGTCTGGCGGCGGTCAGAAAGACACTCCCATCCTAGCTCAGCCTTCATTGCAGTGCAGCTCTCCCCCTTCCGTACCGTCCCAAGACGAACCTGGCAGCACGATTTTGTAATTGTTCCAGAGTAGCAATGAAGGTTACCTTGGCGGGGTCCCACACGACACAACCGTATTCTAAGATATGTCTGATACAAGTAGTGTAAGCCATACGGTTTAAATTCACATGTGAGCATCGCAGGTTTTTTTGAATGAAATTTAAGGCCTTACCAGCTTTGGCTATGAGAGTGTCAACTGAGGCCTCCATGAACATTCAGATGATAGTATTATTGATTGATATGTGGGGTTTAATGTCCAAAACCACTATATGATTATGAGAGACGCTGTAGTAGAGACACTAAAAGGCGAACCTTCAGAATCCCTAATTTGTTTTTTAAGGCATACGTTTGTACTGTTATTTGTTTCAGCTTCGACCTTCTACAATTTTTAAACAATAAAAATTGTTGTAAAGTGATGTACGAGCTCTGGGCAAAACGATTTCATGTGAGCGTGAAAACATGGGACCACATTTATTTATTTCATTCTTTATTATGTATTGATGTTTAAGTTGCGGTGAGAGACACCGCTATGAACAGGCCTTCACAAACATCTTGGTAAAAACAACGCTTCCGTGATATTCCGAACATTTTCTCTTAGTTCTGTCTGGTTCGAAGGTCTGTAAGATTAGAGTTTTGCATTAGCAAGATATTCATCTTAAGAATCAAGGACGTACAAAATTCAAGTATACGTGTGTACTGCAACCAGTTCACGTTGTCTGTGTATTTGTTTGATTTTATGGCTGATAAGGTTCTGCCAGTGGTTAGAAATAACTAAAACTACGAGAAATGGAAGAAAACTCAGTTGATCTCTGCGTCCTAATAATTGGTATATTAAAAAAGTGACACGGGTTCTTACAGAAGTAGTATTTTTAAGAAAGCTTGCGCAATGTCTGTCGGTGTTCAATGGCTATGCCCCCGTTCACGCCGAGTGAAAGATCTCCCTTCGAACGACTAGTGTCCATCATCAATGAAGAAGCAAAATTTCGGGAATAGGTGCTTAAGGTGTTTGTGCTCCAGGTGTTTGTGCTTCTGGTGTCTGTGCTTTTGGTGTCTGAAGTCGGAGGGCCCCTCACCATATTTGATAGTTTTCAGCTGAAAACTGCAATGGGAAAATTTGTGGTTCACGATCACATCTGCCGAAATTCGCAACGTTACGTGCCGCAGAATTCAAACAATCTTCTAGCTGAACGCTGCTGGTGCTCCAGGCGGGCGCACGACCGTCGAATGAGGACATAGTGTACATTATGCGATGGCTTCTTATAGGTGCTAGTGCAGTGATATCGCTGCTTCATGTACACAACTCTGCTGACGGAAATATTCACCAGACGTGATTTTTTTGATCATATCAAAGGACAAGGCCTGTCTGTTATCTGTACGAAAATAGAACCTATATAATGCGTAGACCTTGAGTTTGACGCGCTATCGTGGAGCTCATTGGCAATAACATTTTAATTATAATAAAGAATATATAGGTGCTCGAAAGTCTCTTTTATATTCTATGCTGCATTATTCAGTGATTATGGTTTCAGAAATTTTTCTTCCATCACTTGGGCTCTTCGCTTAATTCTCAAGGCCCATTTTTGAAAGACTTCTTCATTGCACAAGAGTTTGCGCTGCTTTCAGTGTGGCAAGAATCGGAAACTTTCAGCACTTCCGTGATTGCAACACCTTCGACCAAGCGACAATACGATGTGTTGGCATGATCACGCGATACCACATTATAATAGTGTCATAGTGGCGTCATGGTGACGTCATCGGGTAGTCTTTGATTGATTTGTGGAGTTGAACGTCCCAAAACCACCATATGATTATGAGAGACGCATAGCTTCTCGGCCTTTTGGCTAAGATCAAAGTGTCATCGGGTGGTCAATATTTCTTTACTTTTGAGGCTGCTGAGGCTGTTCGCAAATTTTTGTGTTGAAGAAGGCATTAGGGCATTCGCTTTGAATGCAAGAAGTGCTTCTAACTCGGTTTACTCCACAAAACTGGACGTCCGAGAAAACAGCAGTACAGGCTAAGTATTCAGTAAGAAAAAGTGTTGAAAATGTACTAAGTATTTCGCTTACTTCTTCGGTGACGGTTAGGTGACATTTCACGCCCATTCACTCCTTTGCTGTTGTTAGTGGTTCGTGCACGAGGATAACCTGGAATTATGTTATCTCTTGAATTACACCAATAGGAACCAATGCAATTCGAATACCATAGCAAAAGCAACGAGATAATATACTGTGAATACGTTCATCTTGCTTATTGGTGAAGTATATCTGCCTTTGTGGCTACAGTGGAGTGCTTCTAAGCACGGCGACGCGAGTTCGATCACTGTCGACCAGAGCAGGCACACATAAATAGAGGGAGGCAGAAACACCCAGACTGAATCTTAAATTTCATTCTAAAGTGTAACATGTGGTATCGATTTATCAACTTTGATCTGAGGCATAATGTTTATGTGCGCTGAAGTTATGCTCGTAAAGGCATGGTACTTTTCATTTCCGGAGAAGTGCACTAATACTTACTTTGATTAGTCGTGTACACTGTTGTTCTTTACGAAAGGGAACATGCGATCGGTGACCTGCTCTCTACAACGGCTGCCCAGTGTATCTTGCAGTGCTTGTTTAGCGGCTATATCTCGTTGTTTTGTTTGCGAATAGATGACGCCAAAAGCCAGCGTCTTTTCTTTTGTTGTCGGCTGATTACAGCCCTGTGGGCAACCCCCACAGGGCACAGGCTACGCAGTCACGTGTTTCTTTTCATGAAAAGGCAGTGCACATTTGTGTTTTCATAACAGAAGTAAACAAAAATGACTGGTTCTCTATGAACTGATTGACAATGAGTGCACGAAGCAGCGCGATGCTTCGGTGTTACCGTAATTCATCCGTAGCCTCGCCCACTCACACAAGTAATCTGTCAGAAAGTGGTCTGGAGTTATATACAATATCTTAGTATAGACTAGTGTAAACGCTAGAGTGACTGCGAGTGGGAACCAAGGTGATGCCGGTGGCCTGGTCGAGCTCAGCAGTTATAGACAAAGTTTGTTAGTCGTAATTGGTATGTATGTCGTGTTGAGTTGCGGATTTCGTTTTGCCTTCATAAAACATTTTTGTCTTCCATGAAAAGTAAAGCCAGTGATTCTTATGTCGAAGGTAGACTTGCCAGACGCATTGCTAAAGTTGCTTAAAACGATGTCCATTCATGCTCTTCTGACGGTTGTTGGTTGTGTTCAGTCAGACGAAATGCGTAATACAGCGGATCGAGACATGCTATACTGCATAAGCCAGTCGGCTTTGCCGTTGAGCCCCCCGTCCCACATTCTCAGCCCTGAGCCTGTTTTGCTTTATTAGTGTCGTTTTGTACCCACCTCTCGACCTTTCGCGGCGGGGATAGCAGCTTGTTGTCTGCATTGTTATTGAGCCACTGAATCTCGCACCTTACCTTCGCTTTCAACCGTAGTAGAATAAAAAGATTTCATCGCTCATGACTATCGTCGTCATCGTGTATCTTTATTGTGCGAATGCGCTTATTCCTTATCTAGATCAGCGTCATTATATTTTCATGAATTAAAGTGGGTACAACGGACAAACCTACACCTTAAATTGCTTCACCATAAAAGTCCTTGTGTTAGCGGCATACTTATCAATGTAGCCGCAGTAGCAGCGTACGTATCAATAAGTTTGTCTATTTTTAAAATCCACCCATGCATTGACGCTTTTATGGGCCCCTATTCAGCTAAGTAGAGACCATAACAATCATGAAAAATTATTGTGCAGAATGTGACTGTCTGGTCATGGCTTGAAAAGCTGCACTTCCACTTCAAGGTGCGAAGCAATTATTCCAGTAGCGACAAATTTGAATAATACATAAAGAACAGCAACAAGTTCGAAACTGGCACCTAGCTTCCGAAGCACAAAAAACAATGCTCCAAAGAAATGCACTTTTGTAAAGAGCACAAGCGAGAACAAAAAGTGATCGCAGTTATGTGTGATCGAAGTTATGTGAGTGATCGCAGTTATGTGATCGCAGCACCGTGCTGCGATTGTCGACAATTACAACACTATCTATCTATCTATCTATCTATCTATCTATCTATCTATCTATCTATCTATCTATCTATCTATCTATCTATCTATCTATCTATCTATCTATCTATCTTATCTATCTATCTATCTATCTATCTATCTATCTATCTATCTATCTATCTATCTATCTATCTATCTATCTATCTATCTATCTATCTATCTATCTATCTATCTATCTATCTATCTATCTATCTATCTATCTATCTATCTATCTATCTATCTATCTATCTATCTAGCAACATACGTTTGTGTGCTCTCGTGATCAACGTAACTTGGGGTAGACCCAAATTAGTATGAGATGTGAAGAAGGTTTGACAAATATGTCCGGCTGGTCATGACCCAAATAACGTGCAAATTTTCTAGCGTAAGTTGTAATACCTTTACTAAAGACGTTTGACACTAACCCGTAGACACGGGCTGTGGTTTGTTTTGTATTTGCGTCACAGGTGACTTACAGTTTGCCTACGCAGTAATTGGGGGAGCACACAGTGGTGAATTGAATGCGAGAACTTTAGGAAAAATCTATATCGCCAAATTGTACTAGATGAATGAAATGAATAAGTATCAGGACGTCAGAAGTAATCCATCCCAAGCATTCTGCGTGCCAATCATGTGTTGTATTATAAAGCCACCCACGCTGCTTCTCGCCACTGGTTCGAAAGAGACTATGTGCAAGCGTAATGTGGGAGTAGCGTTAGTTATGCATGTAGTAGCCTAAACTTAACTTTATAAACTTTTTTATGCAGTATAATGCATGGGGTGTATGTCAGTGAAATGCCACCCACTAAAGCTCGTGTACGTATCTTTATTCAGGGCTATCACTGCCGCAAGCACAGTTTCCGCAAGCGCGAGGGTTTCAACATACCGCTTCTGGTGTGTCTAACACGTACGTTTCTCTTCACACTGCTACTCAACAGTAAACAACTGATTATACAGCACATATACGTCTCTAAACGTATATGTCTGTGCACATAAGACTTGTACGTATATTTATCGTCATTTTGTTACCATTTGCTCATCATAAAAATACATCACTCACTCATATTGTAGGCACCTACATTCTCGTCGTGACCAACATTGGGCATTTCCCACGTGCCTGTGAATTGACGTTATGCGAAGCATGCGGGTTATATTCCAGCTGTGATCCTGACAATTGTTTTTTGCATTACTTAGGTCGACGCTACCAATGTCGCTTACTTTTTAACGCTCGTGCGTTAAATTTGCCCATGTGTGTTCTCTTCGTTCTTGGGTAGACGCCAAGTGTCAGTCACCTATGGCACATACTGGCATACCAGCATCACCTACCCGCACGTGGGTATTCACCACTGTCTGGCGGGAAATCCTTGACAATGTACACGACGAAATCGTGATATTATTCGTGTCTTGACCAGTGCATCATATTCGTCAAAGCGCGTTAACCTTCCATGCTAATTTTGTTTCACGCCCAGTAAAGAGGGTGACCACAACAACACACAAGCGTAAGAGGCTAGATGAATATATACGCTCAAGTCACCGAAGTTCACTGAGAAATGCTTCGCATTTAAGAGCGCTCGAAGCTACGAAGAGAGGAATGACACGGGGTAGGAAGAATCTTGCGCACACGCCGTTATCTTCCACGTCTCACCTAATTTCTCTTCTACAGACGCGAGGCGTTTCAGTATGCTCGCGAGCTCACGCGTGAAGACGTTGGCCTTCCACGACGGCCGCAGTAACCTCCGAGCGCACCAAGTTAAACTCATGGCTGTATTATTGGACCTGTCACACAAATATTTCAGAGTGAATAGCATTAGAAAGCACTTTTAAAGTGATAATTATACCTATTGCAAATTAAAGGCCAAGTGTCGCGCTATAAATTTACTCGCTTGATCTCAGGAGCCTCGACCATCGATCAGCAGTGTTTTCTGACCATGCTTAAAGAAGGGCAGCCTTTTGTAGTACTGAAGTTTAATTAAATCGCAATGATATATATAAAAACAAAGATGACTCACGTCAAACTCTTATAGGGCAACATTGATAGAATGAGCCAATATATGATAATATTGGGTCAACATAATTGACAACCTCTAATAGGAATCAATCGGCGAAAAAATATTTCGTGTTTTCAAGTGCAAATCCACAGAGCATTAGTCATTGGAATTGGTGAGCTACATTTTCAAGCCTTCGAGAAGTTCACAAAAGAACCACTTTTTCTGTGAATCATAGACGATGGCGAACGAGAGCAAGCAAACAGTGCAATAAAGTCTTTTTTGGCTTGCTCATGGTTTCGAAAACAGGGAGCATGCGCACCACTTCGGTGTGACATAATTATACAAAAAATATTCACATACCTCTGCCACCTGAGCTAACTGACCTCTGCAAAGGTGGTGAACCGAGACTCCCAGTGCTACCAAATACGCTTTTCCTACTTGGTAGACTTGATTGAATTTGTCCGGGAATTGGACCTGCGAGTGCATATGAGGGGCCTTCATCTTTTATGGAGCAGAGAAGCACATACGCCGCAAGAAATGCGAAAGCATGGGTTGCATTGGTGCACGGCATTGCCGCCGGATGAGCATGACTTGATATGCTGCTGTTTGGTGGCGCACAAGCGTCTGTATTCGCATTGACACAATGCACAATGAAGCAATTACCATATCGTGAAGTCAGCATAGGTAGAGTTTCTTGGTTCCGTTCTTCTGTTGACTGCGCAACAGGTGTAAAATAGCACAAAAGATTTCAAGCACAAGAAACAAACAATTTAGGTGCTCTTTTACTGTTTCTCTTGTGTTCCACTATTATGTTTTGGTATTACTGTTCTTCCATTTGCCGACATTTAAATGGTGCATTTTCACATATTGGCACCGTGAATGCTCGTGCAGCTGTTGCTTTCGCTAGCGTAACATGCAGAATGACCCGAGAATCCTAGGCACTGTCCGATTATTGCGTGGTTCTTATGGTAGGTATGATTGGGAACGTAATTGGTTCCAACAAGCGTCAAGGCTTCCTGCACGTTTAAAACACTTAATGAGCACGAGAAACACTCACAGACACTAAAAGAAGCTATACAAGCACAGAAAAAAAAACACAAACTGGCCCGCTAGCGTTCCTCACTACACACGAAAGTCATGCGCTTAAGGCTGACGTGGGCTCACCGACTTGAGTGCTCATCGCGTTGAGCGAGGCGTAGTGCTGAGGCATGGCAATGAGGTGCGGTGCTGAGAGTTGACAGGAGTGCTTCACGGAGGTTGGCACATGTTCCTTGGAATTTGTGAGAGAGCTTCATGGTTGCAGTGTTCAATTGCAGGAGACGGAGGCAGTTGGTGGCCACGTGACGCTAGTAGCCTCAAATCGTGCACATCAACGCCGATGTTCGACACTCGGGCACGGCCGCCTGACTGTATCCAACCACTCATGCCGTCCACCTCTTCCCTTTTTTCAACCGCACTCTACTCCTCGTGTTCGTGTATCTCTTGCACGTGCATCAGCGTCCTCGTCTTTTTTTTTGCACTAGGCACATTCGCGTCATGGCGAGCCCACAACAGGCACGCAAGTTTTATTCAAGCTCACATCACGGTGGTAAGACAGTGGAAAACGCATTATAATAGCGTTGTTAAAAAAAGTTGGCAGATTACATGTGCAGTGAGACGCGATGGTAAGCGAAGCGCAACCGGGGTAGGTTGATTTGTCACTTCAAAATCAGTACAGCGTTACGAGGCGGACGTAAATTATGCCGTACATGACTTTCATGTCAATATTATCGTGTTTGCGCCTGGCATTCTTGTTCGTCGTTCATTCAGGTGACGTAGTAAGAAATTTGCTATATGTGAAGCTAGCAAAACAGCCACGAGCGTGCTATGGGTGTAGCATGTAGTCATGTTTTGCATGACACGCATGTCATGATTATCATGTTAAAACGTGTCATTTACCTTCGTTGTTGATTCAGGTCCCTTGATATCCAATTTGGTATATGTGAAGCTAGCTAAATGGCCGCGAGTGCCTCATAAGCGTGGTATAGAGTCATGTTCTTACATGAAACGCATGCCATGGTTATTATGTTTGCATCAGACAAATGCCTTCGAAATCCATTCGCATCAAGTAACTCCAAACTTGGTGTATATGAAGCTAGCGAAAAAGCCCAGAGCGTATTGTGAGCGTGGTATGTAGTCTTGTTCTTTAATGACACGCACGTCTTTACTATCGTGTTTTTACAGGTAATATACCTTCGTCATCCTTTGACGTCACGTAATGCCCAATTTGGTGTATGTAGAGCTAGCGAAACGAACGCGAGCGCATCATGAGCGTGGTATGTAGTCATGTTCTTACATGTCGCCCATGTCTAGATTCCGACGCGAAGGCCTGACACTCTTGTTCGCCATGGAGTCCTGTCGTACCATACCAGTTTTAGGATATGTCATGTTATTTCGAAACCAACGTAAGAGCAGCAAGATCATTACATATATATCATTGCATTGAGGACATACATATAATGATTTTTGAGCATGACTAGTCAGTTATGGTAGTCATACAGTCATGTCATGCCGTACCAAATTAGGTATAGATCCCATTACCCTTACAGCCAGGAGAGGTAAATGTGGTAGGTGACCAGATAGATAGATAGATAGATAGATAGATAGATAGATACCAAGATAGATAGATAGATAGATACAAAGATAGATAGGTAGATAGATAAATAGATAGATAGATAGATAGATAGATAGATAGATAGATAGATAGATAGATAGATAGATAGATAGATAGATAGATAGATAGATAGATAGATAGATAGATAGATAGATAGATAGATAGATAGATAGACAGACAGACACGGTCAAACTCACTGAAGTTCGCTGAGAAATGCTTCGCATTTGAAACCCGTACGAGAATTAGAGTGACGTGAAAAGCGCATGTGGGGCATCTGCGGCGCGAACAAGTCAGTGCCTTCACTCTGTCAACGTTTCAACACTGCCATGACGTGAGTCATCGTCACGCTCTTTTTAGGAACGCTACACCTCATCTCCCACAGGCACAGGCGTCTTCATAGGCACTTCTCCTCACTCAGAAGGTGCGTTGGTTCCTCGAGCAGCATGAAATTTTCAACTACCGTACAAAACAAAGATGCACACTAAGCACTCTCATGGTACTTGTTTGGCTTCAATAGAACTTTGTGGATAAATAGATGGCCTGGTTTTTCATCAGGGGTGCTCGCATTATGGCGGCAACGTGGCTGTGAGCAGTACGTTGTGAACGTGGTGAAATCGAATGCGAGACTTCGTATAAATGTGATGATATGAATTGTCCTTCTTCGTGCATGCATGCATAGCTTATGCGATAGCGCTGATAGATAAATCGTGCCGCTCACTGGCTTTTCGGCGTGAACACTGCTCATCGGCAAGAGCACACGCGGTGGCCGGATCCGACCTTCGCTGTGCGCGTCTGTCAATCAAACTGGTGAGCTCAGTGGCTACGGCACGGAACAGTCATTTAACCTGCTCCTCTTTGTCATGCAAGTGTACGTGATGCTTGCCAATGTCACACCTGCATCTGGTTCACAGACACGCAGCCTGCGAGCCGTTTAGACTCGATTTCAGCACAGAATCGCCTACTTGATGTGGCTATAACATCGATGTGCTGGCCTGCCAAGGGGTGCTCCCAACCGAGGATTTGTAGATTTAGTCACAGGCAGCCCATCATGAGCATCACCAACAGCTATAAAACCGGAGCATGCCCACCCGGCTTGATTGTTACACCCTTTAAGCTTGATTGCTACACCATGGCACAGTTTTCAACCTTCTCCTGTTTGCAAGGCAGGTAGGTAGAAAAAGTTTAGATTTTCAAAAAAATCAAATAATAACTGCCTGGTTCAGCTGCCGAGCCCGCAGTACTGTGTACGCCTTGCTTTTGATTGAATCGATGTTATTCACTGTTTATTACATCTACTGTCAGGACACATAGAAACCAATCTCCGGTCTGCTAGTCCTTTGTTTACTGTTGAAAAAATTAGGTTCCACGCAGCCTGCACTCCTATCCCAAGTCCAAGACATAAAAGTGCAACTGCATACTACGAAAAAATTATTCTTCGTGGCCTAAGTGATGAAATAGCACAGTTGGAGGAGCACTGCAAAAACTTTCAACTGTGCAATCAGAACTAGTGACATAACGAACCAGTACGGCTGTCCCATCGAAATGAATGATTTGGGAAACGATTAGTTTTTCCATGATTTTACAGGCAGTTTGTTAAAAAAATGCGGCAATAGTTCATAGGGCTGTATTTGTTACCTGATTTGAAGACTAGAGTGACTTTCTCCATCATCCAGTCGGATGGTAAGTGTCCGATGTAAAGAAACTGTAAAAATATCAGCTACAAAATCACTGAAAAAATGCATTCAGTGTTTCAGAGAACTCAACCGGCAGCTTAGTGTTTTTGAGCCGTAACATTGAAACTTTAGAGGCCGCTGAAAATTGCTTGTGATGTAACATTCTGCTATTCCAAGGACTTCTGGATACTAACCAATCTGAAACTTTCTCAGACTTCGGAAGGTTTCAAATTGAAAAGCTGTCTTCTACAGTCAAAAAAGCTTTCTTCTCAAAATGATGATTTAGAAAATCGTTTGCGCAGAAACAACATTATCATATACGGTATGGAGGAATCGGAAGATGAAAATAGCGATTCTCTAAAGGCCAGTCTGTGTAAGTTTTTTCAGACATACTTAAAGTTGAATTTCCGCAGATCGAACGATTCCACAGGATCGGTAGATACTTTGGCAGTAAACCTCGCCCGGTCATTCTTAAACTTCTTGACTTCCGCGAAAAGATTAAGGTGCTGAAGAATGGCTTTAAGCTGAAGGGTTCTAACATGCGTATAACGGAGGACTTCTCTGAACACATACGGATTATTCGCCAAAAACTATGAGACGCCACTGCATCCTTTAGGAATGATGGTTTCACTGTGCAATTAAGGTACGACCATGTATATATAGATAATGCGCAGTATGACTGGGATTGTATTTCCAACTCATTAGTAAAATCCACCAAACAGTCTTCTAAACGCCTTACTCTTACGAAATGACCGAATCATAATAAGGTGTGTATTCTCAATATAAATGCCAGAAACCTCACGAATAAATTTCCTGATTTTGTACACTTGCTTGCTACCTATTGTCCTCACATTATTGGCGTTACGGAAACCTGGCTTCATGGTGACATATATGATTCTGAAATTACTCCACCAGGGTTCAATGTTGTTCGTACTGATCGATTGCATGGCCGAGGTGGCGGCGTTGCCATCTTCTTGAGGTCTGATTTAAGTTTTTCTGTAATAAAGTCACCTGCAGATATTGAAACCGTCTGGTGCAAGGTTCATATCGCGAACTTTCCTATAATTGTCGGTGTATTTTATCGTCACCCAGGTTCATCACTAGATCAGTTAACAGTACTCAGTAGTTTTATACAATAAAAAGGCTTTTCTTCAGGTAACCTAATTTGCATGGGAGACTTTAATGTGCCTGGTATTTCATGGCCATCGCTCTCCACTTTGGGCACCGATTCATCAATTTGTAGAAAGGTGATTAA